CACAAGGATACCAAAAGCAAACAACAAAATCCACAAGGATGACAAAGAACAATGATGAATTGCGAGATTGAGGGCAGGGCAGAACTGAGCAGAGCAGAGCAGGGACAGCTGAAAAATGGCATTTAAATGCAGTTTCGGTGCGAAAGGTCCTGCGGGGCACCTGGGAATCTCTCGCTAGGGGTGGCTCTCTCTCTCTTTCTCTTCAAAATCTCGCGTTTCTGCAGCTCGCTGGCGATGATGATGGTCTGCTAAATGTGATTTAATCCGCTAATAGGGGGGTGGGGTACGAGACTTGCCGGCGTGCTATGCACATGCTGTTGCTATTTCATCATTACCGCTTTGGGCTTATGCCCCTGTCAGCGAGGATCAAAGCTGTTTTGGGCGTTTCTCGGCAGCTGTGTGCCTGTATGCGTGTGTGTGCGTGTGTATCTGTGTCCTGTGCCCTGTGTCCTTTGCCTAAATACTTCGAAATTGGCCAAGCGCTTGTCGTGCACATTAAATTGACAACGCTTAGCTGTGCCTGAGGTAGCCAAACTGTTTCAACATGCGAAAAGGGTTCTGCAGTCATCCTGTGCATCCTTGTGCCATGATTAAGGATTAAGGGTTGCTGCATTTAATATGCACCGACGGATGTGAAGTGCTTTCGTTTGGAGCGAAAATGTCACAGTTGACATGCAAGCCATGAGTTGGAATACTTAATTCGCAGAGGATTACTATCTACATTTCGCAGCATTTCATAGGGATTATCTACATGATGCATAATGGCTTCATAATAAACATGCTTATTTTAATACAAATGATCAGTATTCTCATGTGAAGAGCTCTTTATTAAGGACGATGTCATTTCACCTAAATAAACTTGTCAATGAGTTGATTTACTTTTAGCCTTATATCCTTTCTATGTTGTCTGACAACCTATAAATTTAGAGAACTCTCCATTAGCCCCCTTAAATAATTAATTGCCACAACAAAATAATAAAAAAATGCAGGTACACGTCTCATACAGAAAAAACAATAAACGGAAGCTGGTGATAAAAAGTGCGGAAATTACGTTGACCTAAAAATAAAATTGCCAACCAAGTTTGCCGGCATTGCCACCTAGACACACACACACACTCGCATAGAAGGCTACAAGCGAAAAAGAGAGAGAAAAGGGTGCAGAGTGAGAGAGAGGGAGAGGGCAGGATACGCACTTGCACTCGTGCACCTCAAAAATGATGAAAAGGTAAACGCTCAACTCACACAAACGCACATGACATCAAAAGACCCGGCGTAAATGGCAGTGGATTCGTCAGGGATAAGAAGGATATATATATGTGGGCAAGGGTCCTTTCGAGGCTGGCTGTGCACGTAACTGCGTGGAAGAGCTGACGAGCTGAAGGGTTAAGGTAAGTGGTTCCCAGTAACCACGAACGATGTGTCCTCCACCCACAGCCATATGCAAATCGTCGGTGCTTTTGTGAGCTTATTAAGTGCTCGAAAGTGCATTACAAAAAATATACACCCACACGCAGGGCAGAGGAGGTGAGCAATGGGGATCAAGGACCTGCAGCCGGAAAAATGCTTTCAAGTCAACCCACTCGGAAATGAGAACCCTGCGATGGCTGCTCCCTTTTTTCGCTCTCTTACGCCGAATGACAGCATCGAAATGAGCGACTACATGGAGAGAAATTCAAGACAAATGTTGTATCTTCAACAAGAAAGAAACAAACTATAAATGAGTACTCGATTTTTAAATGAACTTCCATTTGACACCATTCAAGAACTGTCCAAATTATGGAAACAAGGTGGTGTCCTGATTGCAACATAGCAAGCACAATAGCTCCGCCCAGCACACACGTGTATTGCTTACAAAACTTGTCCCGCTTTGGGTGTAATTTGCTAATTAAAAGGTGTGACAAAAGTGGGGCCAGAGCCCCATAAAAAGTCTCAAATTACCGAAAGCATCCTTCAACAAGTAAGTGACAAGGACAGTTGGCCAGGAGTCACAGACCACAACCCAGATGCTTGCTCATTTGCATACAATATCCTCTCAGGTGAAAATGAGGGGCCTTCGTGGAGGAGCAAGAGATGGGGGAAAGCGCCATTGAAGATGCCACTTGAGGATGTCAGACAAGCCAGACATCGCTGGCAAGTGGCCACTTAGGCGTCTGAAGGACTCTGTAGAGCCGGAAGTTCCTCTTGGCTCCTTTATTCACTCAGGGAAATTAACAAACAGGGCGCTTGTACTTACAACTTGCTAATAGAAGTATTTACCGAAAGTGCGCAGAGCTGTATAGTTATTGTCTTAAATACAAAATAATAGATACAAAAAATTGCATTTCGGAGGAGAGCACTAGCTTAGATTAAAAGAAAAAATATTTAGTCCTCACAAGAAAATATTTAAAAAATATATATATTTAAATAACAGAGAAAGATAAATAATAACAGAAAATCTTGAATAAAGGACACCCGAAAAGCTTATGGTAAAGCACTAAGTCTTTGGAGCTTATTTGGAGAGCTTTTTCCTGATGGGGAAGTTAACTACTGGTAAGGAGAACAAAAATCCAGGACACCTAACAAATCAAAGTTGAGATGCTTTTGAAAAAGCTTTTCGTCGAGCTTTGCTATCCGTCGATGGATAAAGGATACAGCATGTTAGCTTTAACAGTTGCTGGGCAGAATTGCTACATGAATTTAACATTTGCAAAATTATTTATGTTGGATATAAAAATATAATTTTGGGGGAAATATGTATCATTGTTTTGAAATATTGTTACAATCTTCAATTCTCAACTCAGCTTTTGCGTCTCTCTATTTTTAATATTCTGCATCCTAGTTATGATTTTAAAGTACAAAACTACTTTCTGTTCAAAAACTACTAATACTGAGTGGAATAATAAAAATTCGAATAGCCACTATATTCACATTTTAATAAACCATTTGAAGAGGCACTTCCTTTGCTAGTCATCTAAATTTGATGTCAAAAGCCTCACTCAGCCCTAACTGATGTAACAAATTCGTTTACGCCGCTCATTGTTTACCCACAACAGCAACAAAGCCACAAAGGGCGTGCATGGGGAATATCAGGCTGAGTCAGCATCTTTGAGCCGACGCATCCTGCTTATGCTCGCAGGATGCAGTGCGACAAGTGCCACTTGAGAAAATGCTTCTTTTTTAGCGATGGGCTACACCCATCCGCCAGCATGAAGGGTGCACGGCACACTCGACTGGTAAATGCTGACACCAAAGACCGGCTCAAGTATTTTGCGGGCAAATAGTCAAGAGGACGGGACTCTACGGCCATCCTCTACTCTACACCCATGGACACCCACCCACATCCTTAACCAGTCTGAATATGCTCGTAATAAAAGTCACTCGAGTGACATTTTTGAGCTTGCGGCCATAAAGTAAAAGGCAAACAAAGCTCAGACTGCCGGAGTTCCTTTTCCAGTTGCTGTTTTTAATCGATTATTGTCGCGTTATTGTTTTTTATCCCCCATCTCTGCGATGGCAAACAAATCCTGTCTGAGTGTCGCATTGCAACAACAATGGGCATGCAGCAAAAAAAAAAAATGCAAATGCAAAAGTCGCAGCACAAAAGATTGTACATTGAACTTGTGCCGTATCATCATCATCTCTTCGGGGGCGGAAGTGATTTCACGGCGGGAGGCGAATTGAAATGTCCTCGCATGCTCCGTGACATCATATTCAATATACTCGCACATAATCCCGATAAGAGCGCGGTCTGAGATATGGTTACCTTCGTTTATCTTTCCCTGCTCCTTGGGGCTTTTTTACTACCCTACATCACGGCGTACTCGTTGTTTTCGTCACGTTTTGCGATCGGCGATAAACCCAATGGAAAACAGCTATGTCCTGCAGCAGTTCCTTCGTCCTCGTTCCTTCCATTTTCAGGCAAGAAATGCACGCGCCGGATGTCGTTAAAATGGCGACCGCCACTTCCGGTGGGCGGAATTCGCGGAAATATGTGAACTTACCTGAAACGTAAACAAGCAGAAATGTGCAAATTTTCGATTAGTATGTTTATGCCGCAGGCTTAAGAAAATGTTTTTTTGTGGGGAAACGCAATCACGAGATTGAGATACAAGTGTTTTAAATAAAAAGAGTATGTTCATCCAATCGCGGGCTGTCAAAACACCAATTTACTATGTATTTAGTTTAAAAGCGTATTAAAAAAGTTGGGAATTTATTTTATTATCAGGCAATGCGAAAATGCGCTTTTGAAGGTTTTGGTTATTTACTTCCGTAATGAACAAGTATTTGTGTTATTTAACAATACTTTCCGAAATATTTTAGGCCAGTATATTGACCTATCCCAAAAAAGATTGAACTCCCGCCACCGCGTGTTAAATGGTAAAATAACTTGGTCAGTGGCACAGATTCCCCTCATGTCCACTCACTACCAGAACTTTTGTTGACCCAACAGATTAGCAGCTAATGGGAAGGCACTCTTCCAGTAATTCCCGTCAACTCAGGCATTAACAATTACCTCTCGTTAAGATCATTGAGTGTCATTGAGTACGAGAGTGGGAAAAAGTGTGAAGTTCTGCATATTAATAGCCCGAAAAATGAAATTGGTCAAAATATGCTGGTAAATGCCTGGTTTTCGTTCAGTTCGATTCAGTTTTGCATGCCAGTTCGTCGAGAGAAGATCAGATATCGAAAATATGGCAAAAGTCCAACATTTGGCAGTCGTTTTGCAGGCAGGTGACTATCATCATCTTCATGAACTGCTGGAGCATCAGTAATGTACACAGACAGAAAATATCAGAAACCCTATTGTTATTTAGTGTCTCTTGTGAAAGTTTATGCATAATACTCGTATAATCATTTTAAAGTTTCACTTAAACAGTGCTGGCTAAATGTGAACACCCATTCCGTGTTCTATTACAATGACTTCTGGTTTTTCCTTGTGTGCCTTACTCATTTGCGGATTGGACCAGTTGCACAGTTTCGAACCTAATGCACTTTCATTTCGTTGACACCAGTTTGTTTGTGGCTCGCTGCAGCAAAGCTGAAAGCGACTGATTACAGGCCAGGTTCTGAGGACTATAATGTCGCTGCAGACAACAATCAATTGCAGCAGGGGGAGAAGGTGATGGCGACGGCGATGGCGAAGACGAATCCGAGACCCGCAGTGCAAGTAAAAGTGGCAAATGAAGTGGAAAGTGCCCTCAGAATGGGAACAATGATTCTGCGGATGAGAAATCGGGCCGGTGAGCGGTGGCAGACGAACTACTTTGACACACAAATGCCACTGCCGTCATCTGGCCTAATGAGTCCCGGCCTGCTGCCAATATTGGATGAGCAGCATGGGCGGCAGGAGCCATTTGAGAGGCATTACTTGGCCCACGGGCCCAGTACGGTTGAACAGCAATTACTACGCCTGCAGCCGGACTACAAATTGCTGTACAGCGCCGAGCACCACACCTATTTCCACCTACACACCCTGCTCCCGCAGGACAATGCCAACCGCCAGACAGGAGCATCGCAATCCGAGCAGGCATCGCCACATCGCCGGCTGTTCCAGCAGGTCGTGGGCAACACACTGACCGCCGCCTTTGGGCTGAATGTGATGGACAAGGGCGACCAGGAGCAGAAGGAGCAGTTCACCAGCGAACCGGTGAACCTCTACGATGCCGCCTCGTTGCGCCGGTCTCGCTTCAGTCCCTTCAATCCCACCAGGTGAAAGCTACCCGACCATTATCTGCCGGTTTTGAGAGCCATTTCGAAGACCAATTTCGGCTTTGAAAGCCGCTCGGCAAATGGAAGCTAGTTCTACTGCCCTAAAACCTATTTGGGCTGCAGTCAAGAAATATATGAATAAGATATTTATACTTTTCAGAATCCTCATTCACGGCTGGTTGGGCAATGAAAATGCCAACATGTACAACGAGCTGTTGCCAGCTTATTTTGATCTGAGAAATGGCAACTACAACATCTTCACCGTGGACTGGGGACGTGGAGCCATAGCGGACTATATAACGGCCAGCTATAGGGTCAAGCCGGTGGGTCAGGTTTTGGCCAAGTTCGTGGACTTTCTGCACCAGGAGGCGGGCATGCGTCTCGAGGATCTCCAGCTCATCGGATTCAGCATGGGCGCACATGTGGCGGGACTGGCGGGAAAGCATATGCAGAGCGGTCGCCTTCGGATGATCCGAGCTCTGGATCCGGCTCTACCCTTCTTCCGGTACGCCAAGCCGAAGGAGCGGCTGACCACCGAGGATGCCGACTATGTGGAGGTGCTGCACACCAGTGTGGGCAGCTATGGATTTGATCGACCTGTGGGCCATGTGGATTTCTATGCCAATTGGGGCAGCCAGCAACCAGGCTGCTTTTGGCATGAATGCAGCCATTGGAGAGCATTTATGCTGTTTGCCGAGAGTCTAGCAAGGGATCAGGAAACGGGCTTCTTATCCCAGGGCTGTCCAGCTGGTGAATGGCAGCAGTTGACCCGATTCCATCGCTGCCCAAACGACACCGGAGTTGTACAGACCATGGGCGGGGATTTGGCCAACGTGTCGCCGGAGTTCTTGGCCCAAAGACAGGGTGTCTATTATTTCCAAACAAACGACCAGCCACCCTATGTTTTAGCACAAAATGCCAGCTCGAATAGGACGGCACACATAAAAAAAAAAAAAAAATAAATAGCGAAATGGCTGTGAGAACGTAATGAGGAAAATGCAAGTGCAGTTCGCGTTTTTATTTCTAATTAGTAAGTGCATGTGTACTATACACACTCTCACGTGTGTGTATTTGTGCTGTCCCATTTCTAAAAGCCGGCTGGCAAAATTAAAAAATGCTGCCATGTGTAAAATGCTTTTCATGCCAGTCGCAGGCAGTAAAAATAGCAAAAAAAAATAAAGAAGGGGAGTACAAATTATGAAAACATCCGTGCGGGAAAAATAAGGAATAACACAAAAACTAAGCGTAGTTCAGTCTGGAAAATCAACTAGAAATATGTGCGCCAAAAAAAAAATGTAGGAACCTAAAAATCTTGTCTGGAAAATTAAAAACTTGAGGTCCAGTACCTAAACTTGTATTAATTCCATTCTTGTAACTGCCACATACGTGTATAATAAAAGTAAAAGAAAATTAAACAAAGGTACTTTGTTTAAATGTACTACCATTTTTTACACTAATGAAGCCGTGTATCTAGTTAAGTTTGAAGTGATAAGTAAACAAGCTCATGGAAAAGTTGCAAAATAACCCCAAGCTAGTGAAAATGTTTGGAAAAACAAAGAAGAACTTCTCGTGAGTCCCATTAATGTTTCAGCCTGCATGCTGGCATTATAAATTCAAAAACTTGGCTTAGCTGGCAAGTCAAGGCTTAAATGGCCAAGGTAACACACTCCGCCAAAATATATAGCACACTTTGGGGCATTGAGACCTTGGTTCTGGCCAAATTGTCGCACGGCTGCCGCTAATGTGATTTTTACGCATCATTTGAGTGAACATCAGGCCATTGGCCAAAGGGCACAAAACCGTCGAAAACTTGGCAGCTGCGGATGGATGCCATAGAAAATTTCGAGAGCAAATATTGGCAAAAGCAAGACAAATATTGCGCACAACATTCCCTTGAGTTGATAAAAATAATGTGAGTCGCAAGGGTATTTTTTCTTAACATTTTTGTAATTTGTCAAGTGTGTTTGAATTCATTTTCCAAGAGGTTGCATATAAAATGTACTTGCTGAAACTTCACCAGGCCTGACTAAGAAAAGTCGATGAAAATATTTAAATAAATTATATAGGCCTTGCTTAACTTTACAAATTGAAATGTATGCGAAAACTTTTGTTGAATTTTCCCGCAGTTTTCCTGCTTAACCGCACTGTAACATAGTTGATAGGTAAAATATGTAAACATATTTTCACCTTGTTTATCAGTACTAATTCTATACTTTCTTACCACAAAATAGTTTCTATATAATTCATTTTGAGATAACTTGGATTACTTTTAACTTAGTTAACAATCTTCGCACAGAATTTAATATTTTCCTTCCACTGGCTGCTCAAACCGAATTTGCACTCATTCGTTTAAACTTTATCTCTCTTGCAGCAGCACTAATAATTAAATTAGCTCGAGAGAAGCCAAGATATTCACTTTGTGACTGGAGAATTCAACTTTTTTCCTTGGCTAACTGGTCTGATTATTTCCTTCGGGGCAGACAAAAGAATCGAGTGCAAAACGAATCGAATAAAACCCGCCGACTGTTGCCAGTTGTGCACTGCAAAGCAAACTGAAAATGTTCTCAGCCAAATGGAAAAACTACAAAAAAGAAGGCAAAAAAGATGGCTAATTTGTGTCGCGTCTTCCAGCGAAGGGTTGTGAATGGATTGTGGGTGATTGGAGGTGGTTGGAGGTTTAGGTGGAGGTTACTCTGGGAAGCCTATGAAATGTGGCCCGCACTTGAGCCAAAGAGTTGACGCACAGACTGCGGCAGCACTGAACGGAAAACTGAGCTGAGCGCTCAGACAATGCATTCCTAATTCCTGCCACGGGGTGGGAAATTGGCAGGAACCAGTGCACGGTAAATAAAACTATGGTCTAAAGAACATTTTAAACCTACATTGCGAGTACGAGCCAAAGAACACATTAACAACAAGAATAAAGAACAGGTGTAATACAAGTAAATAATTTACAATTTCATTTCATTTCCCTATGATTTGAGATGTGGTAACTTGCTTGTTAAAATGTTTTCCGTGTAGCAAGAGTTTAGTGCTTGTTCCTTTTTCGGAACTGGCAGCACATCAAACCGAACCGAGTGCAGGTCCCCCAGAAGCCGTCATAAAGTGTCGCGTTCCGAGCTTCCGTTCCGTTCCGGTTACCTCCTGCTGCCCACATTCCCACCTGCCTTAACCCGCCTTGGCTTCCGGCGCACGCACCCAAACGGACGGATAAGTTTGCCAGCTGTTTGTCTCCGGCAGAAAGCGCATATTACTTTGCCCACAAGCAGCACTGCTCACAGTAATAAGCAGGCGGATTAGCCGGCTATTCATCTGCTCATCTCTGGGGGAAAAGCGGGAGCTCTCGCGTCCTGGCAGCTTAGTGCACAAAAGCCACCGTTGGAGCACTTGGGAAATCTCAAGTTTGGGGCCTCTAATACGTCTGAGCCCAGTAATGCCCACCCGCCTCTAACTGAACTGTTTAAATGACTTGTGCTGCCTGTCATTGTGCTCTTTTCCAAACTAAAGTTTAAACCCAGCAAGCTCATATGCGTGGCTTTTCCAGCTATCAAATTGTGAAACAATTTTCCTATTGTTTTGACACAAAGAATTAACGTAGCAAAAAGCAGCACTCGCTTTGTAACTCGCATCTGAAAAACTGCAAGTGAAACTGGGGGGAAATGTTCGGCTGAATGGGGCGCAACCAATGTTTGACAAGATTGTGGCAACAAAAAAGAGGAAAAACCCCGCCACCATGTGGGTGGGTGTGGGTGTGGGTGTGGTTGCGAAAAGATGCCCGACAACAGCAACAGCAGGTGGCCTTGGGAGGTGGAAAATTGTGGGTGCGAGTGGGTGGGTGGAGCTCCGTTGTCAACACACACAGTTGGAGGTCCTCTCGGCCAGGTGACCAACGGAACGTTTATTTAATTGAAAGGTCAGTCGGTAGGATACAGTTGCCTAAACCGTTTTCTGCGGAGGGGGTGGGGGGCTGAACCACAGTGGTGAGCGCAACAAAAGGTTGATTAAGGCCAAAGTGAAGAACACAATGGTAGGTGGGATGGGATTAGTTGCTAGAAGGGATTTCAATGACTAGCTGAGCGCACTGAATTCAATGGCTCGAGATATGGCCAGCAAGAAGACTAAATAAGTGGAAATGGTGTAAGCCAGCTAATGAAAGGAAAATACTTTCAAGCTAAGCATATTCGGTATTCACTTCAAATAGTGGCACTTATAAAGTGGGCCAACTTATTACCTGTAAAAAGGAAGCTAACTATCAAATCAAACTAGCTGGTAACAATTACATCACTTGGCAGACAATTACGAGCGGAACAAGGACTTTTGGATTTTCGTGGGGCAGAACGCTGCACTTACAGCCAAAACTCACTCAAACAATTAGCTCAAAAGGTGAGGTTGAGGTCGATCGGTGGGTGTGACTCACAACGCGGCGTCGTCAAGCTGAAGCCCTATGAAAAAGTTTCAGTTTTTGCGCAAACAAATTGGATTATTCGATTACGTGTTTGTACAAGCGCAGTGGAATAACGTTCATGGGGCTGTCGAGGGGTTGGGGGGCCAGGTGAAGAAAAACCAGGTGAGTTTCAGGTGGAAGGGGGCTACAAGGTGGCTGAGGTTGGATTGTAAAGCGGCCAAGGGAACAAGTTTTTAAGGGCACCTCTGGGGTTCGGTTTCTTTCTTTTTTTGTACGTAGGGGTTGCAGTTCCCTTGTTTGATTTTGATTTATTTGGCTTTTGTTTGCCAATTGGCAAATGTTTGCCAATCTATAGAGAGCAGAAATGTAATCTATTATAGATTCACTTCATCTTTGCTGGACGGAAAATGGGAACTTTAAAGTCGATCCTAAAACTCTTAAATACATTTGAGAGGCTAGTACTAATCATTTAATGTAACTCTCGGCACAATAGCAGATATCACATATCCCATGCGATTTTAAGCTACTTCATTCTTGCCCCATAAGAGAGTGCCTAAAAATAAAGCCCAACCAACTGAGCGGCGCCCAAATTGAAAGTCAATATAGTGAACAGTTGGCAAACACCTCGTGCTGCCAGCAACTGCAATTTATTGTTACAAACTGGCTTAATTGCTGGCCAACTGGTGGAAGGGGCTTTTAAAATTCTGCCCAACTCTTTTCTAAGCTTTTATTGAACGTGAAAACGGGGTGAATTGGGTGTGTGGGATGTGCGGGATGTGTGGGGGCACTTTGATTGCTTGCTTTTAAAATGAATTTTATATATAGTGGCTTTGGCCAGGTGTTTGACATTTGTGCTCTTATTTATTTTGCTTTTAATTTCTTGTTCGCCATTGAGCGGCCCGCAGCTGTCACTGTGTGTGTGTGTGTGTGAGTGTCAGATGGTGCGTATGAGTGATTTTTAATTTAAATTTAAATCAAACAGAAGGCAAAACCAGAGGCCAGCACGCAAGTACCCCACATCCTTGCTCTAATGAAACCCAAGGCAGCCCGCAGCTAAGAAGAAACTCCAAAATCAACAAACTAGTGGCAAAATGGCGCAAAATGGGCGTCCGAGCAAAGTGAGAAGCACCAAAGTTTGGGGCACTGGGTGGCTGAGGAACAACATGTGCGAGTTATGTACAATCGATAAACTCGAGCGGAGCGTATTTTGCTGACGGCTGACAATTAACCCCTTACGTGCCAATTGGTAGCTAAATAAATTAACCCACACACAAGCACCGGCGCATCGTTGCCAACAACGAAGTCAGCAAAAATCTTGGCATTTTAATTGGCCCTGCCGACGCCTTGAAGTTGGCCATAAAAAAGTTTACTCACAGTCAACTTGAAAGGCTTTAACGGAAACGTAACCTTAATGCGAAGCGCCTTGAAAGCTGGCTAAACTTGACTAGCCATGGAAAAGTAAGGTAATTAAATTAGGCCCTTTGTTTACATTTTCCACAGCACCCTTCACATGTTTTTCCCGTAAACCAATGCATATTTATCAAGCATACGCCATGTGTGACGCGGTTAAAGGTCAGAAAACTTTCAAAGTACTAAAATTTAAATACTAATGGTTATGGCAGAAAATGTGTTGGTAATATTAATGCCAGTTTCAAAAAACGACGCTCTGCAAGAGGATTGCTTACCGAACAGAAAACTTCCGATATCGCAATAAAAATATATAAATCGTTCCAGAAAAACCCGCACAAGAGTCGGAAAAGTTACTTTACTTACCATTAAGCTTGACAGTCAATTCCGGCCACTCTTACACT